TCTCTCTCTCTCTCTTTCTCTCTCTCTCTCAAAAGTAAATAAAACATTACAAAAAAAATTTTTTTTAATTTTGTATTCTTTCATTTTTAACATTTTATTTTATTTTTTTTAATTTTTTTTTTTCAACGTTTATTTATTTTTGGGACAGAGAGAGACAGAGCATGAACGGGGGAGGGGCAGAGAGAGAGGGAAACACAGAATCGGAAACAGGCTCCAGGCTCTGAGCCATCAGCCCAGAGCCTGACGCGGGGCTCGAACTCACGGACCGCAAGATCGTGACCTGGCTGAAGTCGGACGCTTAACCGACTACGCCACCCAGGCGCCCCAGCATTTTATTTTTTAAGCCTAGAACTTCAATCAGTCTAGAATTTATTTGTTTTCTTACGGGCACCTAGCTGGCTCAGTTGGTAGAGCATGTGACTCTTGAGCTTGGAGTTTTAAGTTAAAATTTGTGTTCTTCGTGTAATGTGGAGATCTTGGATTTCATAAAAAAAATTTTTTTTTTCTATAGTCTGACAAAGATGAACAAATCAGAAAGATAAAATCTCGACACAGTGATGAATTAACTTCATTGTTAGGGTATTTTCCCAACAAAAAGCAGCTTGAAGACTGGCTTCATAGTAAGTCAAAAGAAATTAATCAGACCAGGGACAGACTTGCCAAATTGAAGTAAGTATTTGCAACTTGTAGAAATGTAATACAGATCTCTTATTTCATGCTTTTATTTTTCATTGTTTTAATGTCTTGTCATGTATTGTCATAAAATGGTATGTCTTGTGTTAATTGACTTTGGTTCTACTGTATTTTATGAATCAAGTAAAATGGTGACATTGATTTGGGCCTTTTGTTCCTTGAAAGTTTGCAGAACTTAGTGAGAGGATTAAAATTCTCCTTTTTAAAAACGACACCTGAAACCATAAAACCCCTAGAAGAAAATATAGAGGGAAAGCTTCATTATATTGAAATTGACAAATATTTTCTTGAACCTGATACCAGAAGCACAGGGAAACAAACCAAAAATAGACAAATGGGGGCCTGTGTGGCTCAGTCAGTTAAGCGTCCTATTCTTGATCTCAGCTCAGGTCTTGATCTCCCGATTCATGAGATCGAGACTCACATCAGATCCCTGCTAACAGTGCAGAGCCTGCTTGGGATTCTCTCTCTCCCTCTCTCTGCCCCTCCGGAGCTCATGCCCGCCCTTTCTCTCTCTCTATCAAAATCAATAAATAAAGTG